AATTCACAACTTTTCCAATGATCCAATGAACGGATATTATTCTATTCAAAGTACGCGCTCTTTCCCTCTTTCATCTCGTTCTTTTTTTATATTTCCCATTTAATTTGTGTTAATCAAACATGCCAGACTATTTTGAATCCATTTCGCATTTTACAATACTTTATTACTAGTACATTTGGCCGGAAAGAACCCTTGAAAACTTTTTTTACCAAATTCGATGTATCGGACTCGATCCGTCTGTTCATTTGAAAATGAAAAAAGGCAAAGACATGCATCAAATAAACGTTTTTACACGAAAAAACGGAACCAAAATTAAAATGAATGAGAAATGAATGAGATTACCGCATCTCAAAATATCCGTACGTCGATGAGATGAAAAAGGAAAAGCACGCATATAACGCGGATGAAACACACATTTTTCAATCATTTGTACAACGAATTAGTAGCAAAAATACGAATTCATTAAAAGCTTAAAGTAAGTTTTGCCCTGTACGTGTACGCTATGGCAATTGGCAATGTGCCGTTACGCTTTTTCGTCGTATTTCTTTCTTTTCCTATCGGAATGAGCGGTCGCGCTTAGGGTGGAGATGAAGGTTTTTCTTGTTTTGTGTGTTGTATAAGAATTTCGCTATTTTGCTTACTTTACCATTTCCGTTTCGCTTTTCAGCTTGATATAACAATTGTGTAGCAAACGAATTGAAAAAAACTGATTGATTTATGCAGCGAACACGTTCAACGGGAGTCGCACTCATTCTCTCACACTTTTCCTATCTCCCCGACGAGATTCGTTTGATTCTTCGAAGGAACTACGCTCTTTGTCCTATACCTTGTCGTACCAGTGTGTGCGTGCGCGCAAGTTTGTGAATTGGATTGCTTTGTTATATAGCTCGAAGGATTGTTTGATCTGAAAGAAAGTACACCGGTTGAATTGCGAATTGAACCATTTTATTGTCTTTTATCACGTTAAATTTTATAATGTAACCCCGAAATAAATCGGCGACGGGCTTGGAGGGTAAGAACGTGCATATACTTTTTGACATATGCTGACGATGATGATGCTACTATTGTTGTTGTTCTTGTTGCTACTTCGAATTTCCATTATCAAGCATTTGTTTATTTATTTGTTATCCTTTTTAACGGCAAACAATTCATTGAACGATGATGACGATGATGATGAAGAAAAAAGAAGAAGAAGACAAAAACAATGCTTAAAGCCTGTAAAAAACCAGAAACATTTTAGTTTCGGTGTTGATGTCGTTTCTCATTTCGCTTAGTTTCCCTTTCGATTCTTTTTTTTTCCTCGATTCACGTTAATTGTATTTTTATTGGCAATTTTTAAAAACATAAAATATTTATTGCGTACAATTCTGCAAGCGACATAGATACAGAGAAAGAAAAAAGCACACACACTTGAAGTGAAAGAGAAATGATGGCGTTCATTCAAATGAGTACGGCAATAATTTCATGAATCCTCCGCGTGTGTCATTTGAAGAAGGTTCAAGAAGCGAGCAACAAAGCGAAAGAAACGAAAGCGGATTGAGTTTGAAAAGTGAAGATGCGCGTTGGGGCGATCACTCCAATTCCATTTGTTATCAAAGTGCGATAAATAAAGAAGGTATTCAACCGAAACATATTGAATTAATCGACAAAATGAGCGCGCACACTAAAATGTTATCAAATCGCTTTCGAAAATAAAGTACAGCAACGTTTGGCAAACGCAACGTTGAAGAGAGAGAGAGAGAAAACCAATTGCTGTGCGAAAAAAGAAAATCAACTGATTACATTCCCGCAAGGCAAAGAAATGCTCTTGCTACTATTTTTCGCACGGTAAAAAAATGCTCATTTTATGTATAAGAAACAAAAATGGAGAATAATAATAATAATAAAAAGTTGCATCAATTGAAAAACATTGTTGCGTAAATGGTCAATTTTCTGCTGCATTTTTTTCCACGCTCTTGCCCTAACGTTGGTCTCAGTGTCAAGGGTCAATATTGACATTAGTTTCAATTGAAAATTAAAACACTTCATCATCAAAGAACACGAATAATGAAAACGATAATACGTATAAACGTAATACAGCCCGGGTCACAGTTAATTTTAAAATCCGTAGTGCAGTCAATGTACAATGATCGTCATCACAATGTAAAACCACTTTTTTGTTCCTTATTCTTCTCTCAAAGAGAGAAAATTCATAATTGATATAATTTTCAAGTGATTCATAGAAGAAGATAAAGCTACAACGGCTTGTTGATGTTGCATTTTGTGACCATGAAGTTTGAAGCAGAAAAAAACGGAACAGAAAACGAAAGGGAAAAAAACTTGAAAATGTTTTATTATCATGGATACTGTGTATGCTCGTATTTGTGTGCATGTATTGTCCAAACACACATACACAGTGTGACATTACCAGCTAACAACGAACATTAACAGTCCACCCGCATATCGGGCATTTTTTTTGTCGTCCGTTGATTCGTTTTGGTAATACTAGAAATTTATAGCGAACATTTCTCATTATTATGATTGGTGTGCGCGTCGCTCGTTCTCTTTTTTGCTACCACACATCACATTTACACTTTTACCCACATATAACTCCATCCGAACGCGAAACAAGATGAAATGAATGTGCGAGCGTATTCGCCTCGTTTTCTCATTTTCGATGCACAACAGAATGCTAAAATGTTGTGTGTGTATGGATGATGCGTTTGGTTTGTATATTCAACACTCTCTCATTCTGACATCATCACCCTCGTAATCTCTCATTGTTTGAACGGTCATAAAAACTAAAATATTATGATCAAAGTTAATGTGAAGTATTTGTATTTACGTTTGAAATTATTTCTCTTTTTTTTTGTTTTTAGTTTTATTTTATCGTCACATCGCAACGTTGTCATTGTCACATGTCTCTCTCTTTCGCAGTGTGTATATTTCTCTCAGTTTTGTTCATTTTTCCAACGTTGTTTTCAATAAAAATTGTATTGCGAGAATGTTGGAAGACAATTTTCTTGTGCTATGCGCTTATTTTTATTCGTTCGTACTATGTTTTGAAGACGGTTATCATGCAGCAACTCACGAGCTGTGCCATTTCGCACAAATGATAATGAATATGACGACTTATCTTTGTCGTGCGTAAAACGATGCAATATACCCAGCGCAAGAAGATAGATAGAACGAAGAAAACGGGTGTTTGGTTGGGAAAAAAATAACAACAACGACCGAAAAAAGTACATATCATAAAAAACTTTTCTCCCATTTTATTGTTTAAATATTTCTTTCGCTCACTCTTTGTTCCCCCCCCCCCTTCTCTCTCTCTCTCTTGCACATATATATTTTCTGGGGTTTTCTTTGGCGCATTTTATATTACATCAAGTGTATATATTTTAGTATATATGCGTTTCGTTTCGTTTCATTTCATTAAATTCCCTTAAAAACTCTCTCATCCCGTACGGTAGTTAAATGCACACCGAGTTGAAAATATTAGGTTTCAACATAAATAAATGCGCGCGATTCAGTCAAATGGCATTGCTTGAATTACTTGATTCCCTGCGATGTAAAATTAACAAATGGCAACAACAATGGTGGTACACAATAACGTAAAGCATTAAGAATTAAGAAAATAGCAGCGATTGAATGAGTGTTGAGAGTGAATCAAAGTCGTTTTGCAAATATGACAAAATGGCAGAGAAACACAAACGATAAGGTGTTGTTTTTTTCTCTTCTTCTTCTTTGCATAAATAAATAAACAGACGACTCTGGTTGGCATTTTGCACTTTAAACAAACAAAAAACTCTTTCGTTATACGCAGCAACTTAAACATCCATAGAACATTAAAAGAGCAAGAGAGATAAAAAAAAGCGTTGGCCATTAAATCCGCTTTTAAAGAAGCTAAATGGACTATGCAACAAATGGCATTTCGCAAATCTTATTCGGCTCCCTAATTTTATGGAATATTTCGTTATTTTTTTCGTTCATTCGGAAGGTTAATTAGATTGCTTCAGTTCACATAATAAAAGTGCTTGTCGTCGCCAAGTCGAAAGTTGCAATAAAAAGAACGATGAAATTTAGGCGCACACGTTCAGGTAACGGCTTACACAATTCACTTTGGAATTGGCATCAGACATACATACAACAACAACAAAAAAATGTAGTTCGTGTGATGTGTTTTGTTTGCGCTATCATTTGCCTCATTGCTGCGTACTGATTTACAAACAACACGCTTATTAAATGCTGTTTTTCACATGTTCCGTATAAAATGAAGATGATGAGAAAGAAACGCGCGCGCACACACACACACACACATTGAATTGCGAACAACAGTATCAAAGTTGTACGAGCAAAACAATAAATGAACTGACATTCCAAAGATCGGATTTCGTCGTGCTTTTTACATATTGTGTGTGTATGTGTTATCGTTTCGCATGTTTTCAATCTTGAGTGCGCTTTAAATATAACAACAAGAAAACGGAACGGAACAAATGAACGAACAATGTAAAAAACAATGAAAATACAATGAATCTATAATTAAAATGACACGATATGACTACTTGTACAATAGTCGTATACACAAACAATACCATACATCGCTGCGAATGAATGTGAGATATTGTGTTCCATGATACATTTGTGTGTGTATGTGTGTGTGGTGTGCTTTCATAGCATTTCTGCAATAGATGTACAGAGCGAATGAGGGCAAATTTATAATTTGAATGCAATTTGTGTAAAACACAAAAATCTGCTCTGCTATGATGAAAGAGAGACAGAGTGAATTGTAAAACAACAACAATTGATGATTATCTCAGAGAGATTGGTTTCAAATCCGTTAAAAGCGGTTAAAAGACATCCATAATAAGCAGACTGGTTTGCTAAAATTAACCGTGTGCTTCTGCATAAAAATAGAAAATAGATCATTATTTCTTGTTCTTTGATTTCAATATTTGTCTTTTTGTTATATCCGGTAATAACCGTACTAAATGCGTGAATATTTTTTTTCTTCCCCAAAACAGGATAAGGCTGCTTACCCACAAATATATTTATAACAAGGTCCTAATCATCATAACTATTTATTCGGAATTTTCTTTTCTTCATCAAATAAACCACCAATATGATGTCGCAACAAAGGAGCTTAGAAAAACTTCTCTACATAATACTAACAGGTAAGTTTGATTTTTTTTCGAGACATTTTTAATGTGCTCAACTTTGATTTGTGCTGAACAATGTTCACTGTCATTGTTATTTAAAAAAGAAGTTTGAGATACGTTCGTTAAAAACACATTATTTGATTTTCATCTGTACCCTGTGAATTTGACACCAACATTTGAAAAGAAATTTTCTGCTGATATCGGTTTGGCAATGTATCATAAAATATCTTCCTGAAATTAAAATTGTTTCTCACTATCCTACCGCATGTTTTTCGATTCTATTTGAAATTCACTAAATTTGCAACGCGAAGAATTAATTTAATTAATGTGTGTGTTGCACATCATCACCTCATTGATTTTATTTTGTATCAATATAATTAAGTGTATAGTTGATCCATTTATCTTATACCCCCTCATGTATATTCGCTGCATTTTGATTTTTTCAAATGGGCATACCTTGCTCTTACTCCGACAAATATGCATTGAATAACATGAATTGCAATTGAAAATGAACTGCATTTCAATCTCAATTGTATGCGTGTGTTAATTAAAATTCCAACTGCAATTGAATCTATGTCATTTTCAACATGGACTTCGTCATTCTCCGATGCCTTTTATACATTTAAACCGTCAATTTCGATTTTGCTGGCAAAGGCCAATTGTTTTTTTTTTTTGTATTTTGCCTACTTAAAATTGATTATAGCACCGTACGACAAAAAAAAATGATTTTGTCTGATAAGAACTTCGTAAATAGGGCGTTGTAGTGGATGGAAAAACTAGCAAAATTGCATCTTTGGTTTGTTCCATATACGTCTGTTTAAAAAAGTTATTCGATTTGATAAATCTTCAGTACAAATATGAAAAGAGCGACTTTTAAACTATATACTTCTTTCATTCAAAATTGGTGAACATGTGTATTTGGGGGTTTTTTGGTACGGGGAAGCCGTATATGACCTTTGTTTTGCGATATAATAACGTTTTGATACGATTTTCATACAAAAACTGGCAAAAATGATCGTTTACTTCTTTTTTTCCAATTTTGTTTTTGTTGATGTCGATTTTATCATCGGATCAAAAAATTATGTTCTACAAAGTTGTTCAGAATGATGAGAGAAATTTTTTGGGTCAGCTGCCCTCCAACTCCCCCCACCCCCCAGGGGGGTCAGGGGTCATAACCCCTTAACCCGTGATTTATTTGAAATAAAACCCAAAAATTCGGCTTCAGCATGCCAAAAAACCTATCATTCATCTCCATATTATATTGAATTGATTGGATCGTTTGTCATGGATACCAGTGGAATTGAAAATAGCCGCACTTTGATTTCCAAAGAATTATGTGTTGGCATAAACAACCATACAAGCGATAAAAAAGAGCTCAAATAGCTCTGGCCTCTGGTGTCAAAAACAAACTCGAATGAGAATACAAAGAGAAAATGGAAAAATTGTGCTCGCGAGAGGGACTCAAATGTCGATTTAAATTTTACCAATTGCGATCGATTGTATGATCGATGCAAATTCACGCCGGACATCAAAAGCAATAACAAAAAAATTAGCAAATGACTACTTACCTTCCAGTTTATACACATACATTGAGACAATCACTGATTCATTTCGATGATCCATGTTTCAGTGCTGTTGTTCATTCTTTCATTGTACAACAAATGGACTGCGACGCTTTAGTCCATCTCAATAAATTTTGCTGCGAGCAAACGACTTTTTCGCTTGCTTTATCACAAATGATTAGTGTATATTAGCTGGTGTATTTGACGTTTTTGTACGGAATAAAGGAGTTACCAAAAAAATGTACCAACCGAAATCAGTTCGACCGAAAGAAGCGCATAAATCCAACAAAAATTGGATGAAAAAGAGCTATCGGCTGCGCGTCTTATACACAAAACATTGGGTCGTTGGCTAAGAACATTTTCCAGTCTATGGTTTTTTGCTCGCATCATTTTCTATCCCTTTTTTGTCTTTATCGTTTTATCGGCGTTGATGTTATTGTTTCCATTTGCCTCTCTTTGCTACCGCCATCGTCGTCGTTGTCAGTTTTGCATGTCGCCATAATAGCTTAAGCTGCGACTTTAAACTAAATTATTTTCATTATCATTATTATTAATATTGTTATTGCTTCGTGTCGATTACTTGTATTGCGAAAATGTGCTCAGATGCTACAAATTTAATATATAATATACATACGCAATATAATAAAACGTGATTATTTGCATTTGCTTGACTCGCCGTTTGCATTGGCTAATGGCTATACTCCATTTAAACACATTCTTCCGATCACCACAACGAAGCAGTGGAAAAAATACTAAATGCTTCGAAATACAAGAGGAAGAGTGGGAAAATGACGGAAAAAGTTTTTTTTCTCTTGCTTTTTTTCTTCTTTGTTTCCACGATGTCAAAAGCAAAACAAGAGAGTATTTTACCGATTTTTCCGCACCATTTTTCCGTTAAATTCAGTTCCCCCTTTGTTTCAGGCATTTTGTTGTGCGAAAATATAACATAATTGACATTTATTGGAAAAGATATTGAAATGGTAATGCGCGCGCGGAGGAGCAAGGAATGTATATATGCTCACATTTTATTCGTTCATATGCTCGTTTTGCTTTCTCGCCTTTGTATTCATCGCCAAGGCAATGGAAATGCTTTGTGCGACACTTTTCAATCTTTCAACTCATTGCACACAGCATTCCGTTATTTACTAAAATGTCTCTTTTTACTTCTTGTTACACACCACCATCACCATCGCCATGTCTTTATCATTTTTTTTAACTCACTTACTTTGTCTTCTGCTTTGTCTATATATATCGCGCGTTCAGCCAGTGTGTGTATAATAATAGAATTGGTGTCGCGGTGGCTGCTATGCCACCGAGAGACTTCTGATGCTTTTACTGCTTCTTTCTTTGTCTTCTTTTATTTTTCATGCATTTAAGCGAGTTGGATTAACAAGCATTTGTCGTTGTTGTCGTGTGCGATATAAACAAAGTATACAGAAATAGCATAAGAGAAGAAAGAAAAAAAACCCCAGATAGATATGGTATTTTATTAATTAAAGTAATGCATTTGCTGATCTTTCATGTATCCGTTCGTTGTGTCAACATGGATTAAAAATTATCCAACAAAACAATGGAAATGAAACAATAACAATAATAACGATTATAAGAAACGAGAAATGATGCTGAAGAACTGTGCTGATGCTTATGAGATGGAAAACACAAGGACCGACAATGGTTGCATGAAATTGAAAATGATGTATCCAAGAAAGTCATTTTTAGGGCTATACCGTACCGTATTTGCTGTATTGTCTGTCATATTAGCTATTGTTCCTTCCTTATTATCTGCTTCTCTTTATTTGATGTGTGTGCGTGAGTGTAGCGAACCATTTTTAAGTGTTTTTTTTGTTACTCTCGTCCTCTGTAGCGCATATTGCTTAAGGCTTTTCGAATACACTTCATTGCCTCATTCGGATCGTAATCAAGCAATGAATGATACAACAACTGAGTTGCGCGCACGCTTCTGTTTGCTTCGGCACATTCAATCAACGTTTTAATTAACATTTAATAAGATATAAATGCGGTTTTTAATACAACATTACACCAATTCGACTTAATTTCCTTTCTTTCTTAATGAATGGAATACATTTATTTGAAAAAGGTCAAAATCCATCCGAATATGCATACAGCATACACACGGCCAATTGTAATTGTTTCATTAAGACCGTGGCCGTCAAACGCTGATGATAATTGTTTATGCTCATCATAAAATGTGGGATTTACATCGTGCAAGCCAAACAAAAAACAATGAAAAAAAATAACATATATAGACATTCCAATTGTATGATTTAAACCAATTATTTTGTGTGTTACACATCACACCGTACTCGCTTCCATCATCAATTGAAACGAAATGCAGAAACTTGCATTTATAGACGACAAACTTTATTTTGTTGTTGTTATGGTTTTACGACAAATACAACGCATGTAACGATATAAACTTGATGTATTTGTCGGATGTAATTGGAGAGATTTCTCTATTTCGCAAACAAACAAAAAATTAACTTTAAATCTCGAAACTTTGTCCTTGCGAAAGCACCATAGTCATCAACTCACTCCCGGTCACTTGAAGCTTATTCGTCTAAACAAAATGTGTGGTATATGTGGAAATTAATGAGAACCAAGAGCTGTAGTGACAACAAAAGCTTTTCGTCGATCCAAAGGGGAACATTTCATTTGACACGACAAGCAGTAACAGTAACACACACACACACATCAAGATATACTTAGGAAACAAACTGGGCCAAAAACGTAAGACATAAAGACAACAGCACAAAAGAGTGAAAACCAATGCAGTAGGCATGTTGAATGTTAAAAAGTGTGTGTGTGTGTGTGTGAGAGAGAGAGAGAGAGAGAGAGAGAGAGAGACAAAAGTCCTTTTCACTTTTCTTTGGGTTCATAGTTTACTTTATACCATCTCAAACAGCATTTTCTCTCTACCGAACAAATTCAGCACAATTCCAAACATATATATTATACAAAACCGCCAAACCAACAAACCGACCGACCGACCGATTTTCATGTCAAAAGAATTATAATGGATTAAGGCGTCGATTCCAAAGAATCCTGACATCGTTAATATTCCACTCACAAATCGTATAAGAATTCATGCAAATATATATATCCATCTTGTTTTAGTTGCACATTCAAAATTGTGATTGAACAAGTGAGCAAGTGAATGTGTTTGTTTCACTTCGTTTATTTGCCGCATTCGTTGTGTTCCAAACATTTAGTTAGAAGTATTTCCATGCGTTTTACACAGTGTAAAAAAGTGCGGTTAATGCAAAAGGATACAAGCTTGATGCGGGTGATTCTGTTGCTGATGAATCTTGCATACGGTTTTCTCTCTATCCACATTTTGTCATTACGAAACTCTAAAACAGTAAAATTGCCGCTGCTATTGCTGATGGTTGGAGACTACGACCATTGCGATGCTGATATATTGAATCGCTTTCG